ATGGATGGATGGATGGATGGATGGATGGATGGATGGATGGATGGATGGATAATGGATGAATAATGGATGGATGGATGGATGGATGGATGGATGATGGATGAATAATGGATGGATGGATGGATATTGTTTACATGTTTACTAAATGTGAGATCAAAAATACAAATATAAAGTTTGTGAATGCTGAATGACTACAGAAATTTACTGAAAAAGCTGAAACTGGGTCATAAAAGCTAAAGAAATAGAACATTAGCTAAAAGAACAGGCTAATTTGGGGGAGTGGTGGCGCAGAGGTTAGAGAGGTGGGCTTGTGATCCGAAGATCGCCGGTTCACGCCCCGGCCCCGACAACATCAAAATTGTGGGTGGGGTAGGTGAAACACCCACACTTGCCCCCACCCTCATTTGCCCCACTCTGGGCCCATGAGCAAGGCCCTTAACCCCCACCATGTGCTCCCTAAACAGGTCTCTCTTGAAAATGAGTTCTCGTGGCTCAATGAGACTAACTGGATAAATAAAGGCTAAATGAAAAAAAAATGAAAAAATGAAATGTTAGCCTAAAGCTAAATGTAAGAAAACACTAACTAGAGCCTGAGACGATTCTCTGTGCTGTCTTTCTGCACCTCCAGTGTTTCTGTATCCTTGTGTTTCATTCAGCCTTTATTTGTACACTTTAATCCAGGCTGTATAAAGTCCTGGTGCTTCTGCTCCTACCACAGCTGACCTGAATCCCAGTCACTGCAGGTGTTTCCCACTCATCTCATGCTCAGTCTGTTTTCACTCCTCTACTATATGGATATTAGCAACTATCCATTCCTATGGACTCGTGGTTCTGTATCTGCTCTTCCTGTCGTCTCCCTTCATCTAAGTTTTTCTGCCTAGTCAGCACCTTGTTTTTTTTAAATAAATTATTAATAATAATTTATTATTATTTTATTCCCAAGTCTCCTGTCCTCTGCCTGCACATGGGTTCAACCAAAACAGCAGAATCATGGCACAGCGAGCAGTAAAAGCTAACATTTGGAAAATGATGACTGAAAGCTTTAATTAACAAAAGCATACCAAAAAAGTAGCATAAGGGTAGCTAAAAGCTTAAAGTAGCAGAATAGTAGCTAAATGTAGCTACAGACAAAAACAGAGGAATGCGTTGAAGCAGATTTCAAAGGGAACAATGATTTTGAATGGACTCCAAAGATCTCAGTGTATTTCTATGGTGAAGATATTTGTAATTAAATGTAAACATTTCAAGAAATGTTAAAAGTGAGAAGAACTCAGAGCTAAATCAGTTTTCACATAATGACAGTAAATGATGTCATGTCAGCACAGAAAACAAAATCTCTGCTCCGGACTGATGGATGGAACGCTGGAATATTTCATGTTTGACAGTTTTACAGGTAATGAGTGGTTCTGACCTGTGGTGACCTGGTGAGCAGGTGGACCAGGGGCAGTGGTTGGTTTGTCGGATGGAGGGTCGCAGGCCTTATCTTGGATGACTGCCTGGATCACCACCTGGGGCCTGAATGAGCCTGAGTCGACGTATGTGTGAGTGACAGTCAGCTCTCTGGATATCAGGGCTCCGCTCTCATCTCCAAAGTCCCAGTTGTAGGTGATGTCTGCGTTGCTGAGGTACTCGCTGGGGTCATGGAGAGTAACTGTAAAGGCGATCGCCCTGTTCTGGACAAAACGCATGTCCCTGGCCACAATGTCATTTACTTGGTCCAGGGAGACAGCGAACGGGATCTGATCTGAGGGTGACATTGAATAATGAGATTGGTTTGAGTAAAGTTAAAGGAGTTCTTGCAGGCTGCAGACATTTTGGTTTGTAGTCCCATTGCAAATAGTAAATGGACTACACTTACATATTATATAGCTCCGTTCTATCTTATCCAAATACTCAAAGCTCTTTACAACACAATCTGTGCCTCATTTACTCATTCATTCCGCCTCTACTAAATCTTTACAAAGAATAATCTGAATCTGTAGAAACTAATCAGAGCTTTATCACATTCATACATCGATGGGTCACACATGGGAGACAATGATTTTCAATGTTTTGCCCATGGACACTTGGGCATGTAACCGCTGGTGGAATCGAACCTCCAACTCTTGCATTGGAGAACAACTGCTCTAACCACTCAGCCACAGCCATGGATTGTGAATCATGGGGTTTATGTTTCTAAGTGAAACCTGCAAGACTTCTCAGAAACTTTGTGCAGTTTGAAACTAACCAGTGATGGAGAACTGTGTGGAGGCGTATCCCAGTGGAATGAACTTCTCCTTGCTTCGGTAGTGGTAGATAACGATATCCATGGTGTAGGAGCCCAGAGGGATGTTGTCCGTATCAATGGTCAGGGATGAGGAGGGCCCGTCGGCCACCTGCCAGTACTGACCTGCCCAAAGAACAGCACAACAGAACTTTTAATAAGTCCGTTTTCAACTCATTGCCCAAAGACTGGAACCTTAGAGAGCTCAACTCACCCCACGTCTTCCACACAAACACATACGCTGGTTTCCTGTCCTTCTTTACTGGGGATCCATCAGGAAAAACTGTCTCCCAGTCTGGGTCCAGTGTTGGGTAAACTGGCTCAGACTTAAGAAACTTTGTTCCTGGAACCCAAAGAAGGAAGTAACAAATTATGTTTTCTTGCTTTACTGTAGGTGAGCAGTGTTTTTGTGTTCTTTTTAGTAGGTTTTATACACTGCACTTTTACACAACTTTTGCTTTGTTTATTGTATTCAGATACATTTTAAATCACATCCACTACTGAAAACAAACTGTGAGGACCCTTGTGGTTATTTTGTTTTCTCTGTTTGTGTTGGTGTTTTCAGTTTCCCCTGCGTTTATCCCCTCAAGTAGTCAGCTCCTGCTCCTCCCACTCTCACCTCCTTCTTCTTTCCCAGGTGTTTGTCATTGTCCATCATCAGTGTCTCTTTAAAACTTCTGTCATTTTGTCACTCCCTTGTCCGGGGATTGTGCTTTCTGCAGCTGTCATGTTTTATTCCTCCATGTCTTCCACTGAAGATTATTTTCTGTAAGTTTTGTTTCCACGGCAGCTTTTATGATTGTAGTTACTTAATAAATGTTTTATTATTTTTACCCTTGAGTTCCCCATGTCTGACTGCATCTAGGTTCGACCCTCTACCGATCATGATACCTTTGACCCATTAGCCATTTATCCTCAGTTAATTTCTGCTCTTACACCCCCCCCCCCCCCACCACCACCAAGTTATGCATGCTCTTTGTTCCTCCTCAGTCACAGCTTCAGCCACAAGAGGGGGCTGTCCATCTGTTCGACCGTCTGTGTTGTGAGCATGATAATGTGAAAAACAAGTGAGGTAACAACTTTCATTCTGGTGTGTGGCTACATCTGGGTGTAAAACAAGTTCCCTATTTAAAAGTTAGGCTGCCACATCAAAATCCAAGATGACCACCACTATACATGTATGTAAACCGACCACCCCTATCATTTCAGGGAATTGTGCTTTATAGTTTTTATAATGATTAAAAGTTGTTTCCTCAAATGAAGAATTTGAAAAAAGCCTGGGGTAGCCAAATATTTATCTATGGTGGCCAAGGTCACCACTGGCCACCCCCTGGTACCACCAGTACACCTGATGGCGGATACAATTGCTCCCTCCACTCACCAGGATCTGACACTCTAAAAATACAACAAACAAATAAATAAATAAAATGAAACTGCTTCTGTCCAACTACACAGTTCACTCCAACCTAGCTGAGTATCTTGTACGGGCATAAATTCAATTCAGTAGCAATTGTGCGTGTGTGCGTGTGTGCGTGTGTGCGTGCGTGTGTGTGTGTGTGTGTGTTACCATTGACTGTGCAGTCTTCAGCCCATACCACGCTCCCATCAGGCTGCACCTTCTGTTTGTGGGGAAACTCCAGGTCGATGGTGAAGGTGACTTTGGCTCCAGTCAGAGTTGGTGAATCATTCCCAACAACAAAACTCACTTTTCCACCTGGAGCCAGAGGAACAGCAGGCACACACATTTACACACATGTCAGCCTAAAATACACACAACCTATAGGGGGCCTTCAATGGCCACTTTTGACAAACAGGGTGCCAGCGTAACACGTGCTACTGTTGATAGAAGACCACGAGGAGGGAAAAGTGTCAGGAGACAGGGAGAAGAGGAAAGTTGAAATAATAAACACTAATTCAAAAAAATATAATGATAAGTTGTGTATATAGATCACCTGAGTCAAATATAGAACTATTCAACGATCAGATCATGGAGATGCTGGAGGGGAGTATTAATAAAACTGTGTTTTTGTGTGGAGACTTCAATATCGACTTATATAAAAATACAGACTCAAATAACATCAATACGTTCATTAATTCAATGAATAGTTTAAATCTGTATCCATTTATATCTAAACCGACAAGAATCACCACTCATAGTGCCACCTTAATTGATAATATCTATACAAACATAACTAATACAGAGATAATGGGAGGAATTTTGATTACTGACTAAGTGACCACTTACCAGTTTTCACAATTTATGGTAAACATCAATGCATATAAAAGGAGATACAAACAAGAGAAGAATAATAAATACATCAAAGAAGGCTTTGAATAATCTATTAGACGATTTACAGAAACAAAATTGGAAGACGGTGTATGTTGATGATGTTAACGTAGCATATGATGTATTTATGAATACCTTGGTAACATTGTATGAAAAACATTGTGTGCAAAAAAATTATACAAAACGAAATTCTGTTGATGAACCATGGATGACAAATGGGTTGAAAAACACTTGTAAAAAAAAGAACAATTTGTACTTGTGCTTCTTGAAATTGAAAACAAAAGAAGCAGAAGAAAGATACAAAAAGTATAAAAATAAACTGGTTTGGATCATAAGAAAACATAAGAAGGAATATTATAGTAATTTATTAGACAAAAATAATGGTAATATGAGAACAACATGGCAAATAATGAATAGCGTTCTAAAAAATCATGAATCCAAATCAAGTATTCCACAATATTTTGTAGAGGATGGTAATAATGTCCATGACCAAAATGTGATTGTAAATGAGTTTAATAATTATTTTGTAAATGTTGGCCCAAGCCTTGCAAACAAAATACCTACAGCAGATGCAAACGTTAATCACAAAATTACAAGTTGTACTAATAGTATCATTTTGAAAGGAACTAACAAAGAAGAGGTAATGGATGTTGTAAATGAGCTTGCAGATAAAAGATCAAAGGATTGGGTTGACATGGACATGATGTTTGTAAAAAACATAATGAGTTGTGTCATTGAGCCGTTTGTACACATCTGTAATCTGTCGTTCAAATCAGGAATATTTCCAAATAATATGAAAACAGCCAAAGTGGTTCCACTTTTTAAAGATGGGGATAACGTGACTTTAATAATTATAGACCAATATCACTGTTGCCACAATTTTCAAAGATTTTGGATAAATTATTTGGAATCAGATTGGATCAATTCATTGACAAACAAAACACACTAAGTAACAGTCAATATGGATTTAGAAAAAATAATTCCACAACAATGCACTTGTTGAATTGGTGGAACAAATAACAAATACAGTTGATCAAAAGAAGAGTTGTATTAGTATTTATGTTGATTTAAGGAAAGCATTTGATACTATAGATCATGGAATTCTTCTTGAGAAACTATATAAATATGGTATTAGAGGGACAGCATTAAAGTCAGTAGTTATTTGGAAGATAGAAAACAATTTGTTCAAATACATGACATAAGATCTAAATTTAGTAATATCACATGTGGAGTGCCTCAAGGCTCCGTACTTGGACCCAGGTTATTTAATTTGTATGTAAATGATTTGGTTAATGTATCAGACTTTTTTAGATGTATTTTATTTGCAGATGACACAACATTTATTTGTAAAGGTGATAATACAGAACAAATGCTGGAGTTAAAACAGTCAGAATTTGTGAAAATGCAAAATTGGTTTCTTCTAAATAAGTTATCATTAAATCTGGATAAAACCTATTACATGATACACGGTAACAGAAAAACAGATGTTCACACTCCATTTTTGGTAGGTGGAACTGAAATTTGTAGAGTTAGTGAGGTGAAATTTTTGGGCGTTATTATTGATGAGAAATTAATATGGAAACCTCACATAAACAATTTGAGAACAAAAATATCTAAATCGATAGCAATTCTGTATAAAGTAAGAGAGTTTTTCACTGATAAAGCAATGTTTATGTTGTATAATGCAATAGTTGTTCCTTATTTGGTTTATTGTATTGAAGTCTGGGGTAAAGCGTGTAAAACTATAACTAATCCTTTGTTCATTTTACAGAAAAGAGCTGTACAAATTATTATGAATAAAAAACAATAGCTATCCGTCAAATACTTTATTTTATCAACTGAAAATTTTTAAATTCTATGATTTGGTTTATTATAACATTTTGTTGCTTATGTATAGGGCACATAAAGGCATGTTGCCCGTTAATATTCAAACGAATTTTGTTAAAAGAGAAAGTGTATATGTTCTTAAAGGAATTTAGATGTTTGTGAAGCCTTATTTTAGGACTAGTTTGAAGGAACGATCCACAATAATTCAAGGAATAGGATTGTGGAATGGTTTGGATGATAACATTAAAAATGTCAGATCATTGTGTACATTTAAGAGACTGATAAAGACGAGTTTCTTCAAAGAATATGGAAATTGTTAATATAAATCTACTTAAGTCGTTGTTTGATTTAGATGTTCGAATTTTTATGTTTTTAACTTGGCTAGATTGTTATCTTTGTGAAGTATATTTTAATTTAAACTTTGTAAAAACATTTTTGATTGACTTTAGAATTAAGTAAAAAGGGGCAGTTTTCACAACACTAGTTCTTCTTCTGCCACCTTTCATTTTATTTTATTTACATTTTCTTGATTGTATTGTATATATATATATATATATATATATATATATATAT